TCAGCCAAGTGGTGTTGACCCTGGAACTATACAGACACCATCAATTAAGGAAGGGGGGGGGGGGGTGTTAATCAGCCACAGCTCAAGAAACCCCTAGTAATCGAATCCTAGGATTCTACAGAACTATGGATAAGAATGGCAGACCTTGAGGAAGCCCAAAACTGCTAAAAGTATTTAATCCATGCGTCAGGGATCGTCCTCTCACCGGCACACATCTATGCGCCGGCGCAGGATCCCTGTCAGCTGCGGTGGTGTGTGTGCACATGCGGTTACGCGCATGCACACCGGTGTGTACGTCATCGCAAGGCGGGCTATTTAAATCACCAATACACTTTAGCCTATGCCTTCTGGTCTACAACTTCCTGCACTCCATAATCTGATTCTGTTGCCTGTATCTGATCTGACCCTGACTAAGAAAGAACTCCACCTGCACCGACCCGGCTTATCCCTGACTAACCGCTTGCCTGCTCCCTTGTACCTGATCTTCCCGATTGATCCTGACCCAGCTTGCCTGACGCTGCTGCACCTACGTTCCTGCAATCCACATCTGGCCTGTATCCTGGTTGCCGCCATACCTACCTGCTGCTACATCTACGTTCCTGCATACGCACCTGGCCTGTATCCTGGTTGCCGCTATATCTACCTGCTGCTACACCTACGTTCCTGCATCCGCACCTGGCCTGTATCCCGGTTGCCACCATACCTACCTGCTGCTGCACCTACGTTCCTGCAATCCACACCTGGCCTGTATCCTGGTTGCCGCTATACCTACCTGCTGCTACACCTACGTTCCTGCATCCACACCTGGCCTGTATCCTGGTTGCCGCCATACCTACCTGCTGCTGCACCTACGTTCCTGCATCAGCACCTGGCCTGCATCCTGGTCTCTCATGTCATCACCTGTCTACAGTCATCTCAAGACCCACCAGGTACTCGTGCCACTCCAGGCTCGGTGCCCTCTGTCCCCACTATCAGGGGCGTAAGGAGTAGTAAGAAGACGACCTCCTCTCCACATCAGGCTCCCCAACCAGGTACATGACACCATGTTGGTATTCCTTTCAGTTAGAAAGAAGCAATGGGGGACACAAATTTCTAGATACACATACGTGCGAGGTCAGCTTTAAAGCCTATATTTAGGAAATAAATGTTTTTAGAAAATCAGCATAAGGGATGTTACATTTAATCTGATGTGTCTCTAGTGCTGATGCTGGCTGTATTAGTGGAAATCGGAAATCCTTTGACCCGCTCCCATACCCTGCAACTATAATCTTCTTGTGCTGCAGGGGTTAATACCAGCGCTGGACTTCTGACAAGCTTTCATCAAGAGTACTTCACCTGCCCTTTCTACCTTCCTCCTCCATTCTTAGAAGCTGCACCATAGCTTACATTGATGCTTTAAGAATGGAGGTGAACATTTCATTCATCTGCCTGTCCTTCATTCATATACCATATTTCATTGATGGAAGCTATAGTACAGTTTCTATGAACTGAGGAGGGAGGCACCACTCTTGGCAAGTGCTTATGACATGTCCTACGTCTTGTATTAGCCTGTAAGATTATGGCTGCAGGGTGTGGGAGGGGGAAGAGGATTTTCAACTATTACAGCCAGCATAAGAGACACTTTAGATTAACCACTTGCCGTCCTGAGGATTTACCCCCCTTCCTGACCAGGCCATTTTTTGCAATACAATGCTGCGTTACTTTAACTGACAATTGCACAGTCATGCAACGCTGCACCCAAATGAAACTTACGTCATTTTTTTCCCCACAAATAGAGCTTTCTTTTGGTGGTATTTGATCGCCTCTGCATTTTTTATTTTTTGCGCTATAAACAAAAAACCCGACAATTTTGAAACAAAAAAAAATATATTTTTTGACTTTTTGCTATTAAACATATCCAGTAAAAAAATGTAAAAAAAATCAAGTTTAGTCATAAATTTAGGCCAAAATGTATTCTGCTACGTCTTTGCTAAAAAAAATCCCAATACATGTAAATTAATTGATTTCCATCAAAGTTATATTGTTTACAAATGGCGGTATATATACTGGAATGTTTCTATTTTTTTCACTAGTAATGGTGGCGATCAGCGACTTATAGCGGGACTAAAGCAGGCATTCTAACACTGGGGGAACTGACTTGGTGTCACTGACATTCCCAGTGACGCCAATACAGTTATCAGTGCTAATAAAAAGCACTGACACTGTACTAATGGAATGGCACTGGGCAGGAAGGGGTTAACATGTGGGGCAATCAAAGGGTTAACTGTGTGTGCTGTGTGTGTGCTTTACACTGTAAGCACACGGCTTTGTATGGCTTTGCTATGCAGAGCCATAAAAAAGCAGTGTGCAGGAGCCGACAGGGGAGAGATCTGTGTTGCTCATATAAATGTTTCTTCCCTGTCGGTGATACTCGGTGATCGCCCAGTGCCAGCAGGGAATCACCGGCCGGGACCCAGTGATTGACAGCCAAGGCCGCAAATGGAGGCGTGGGTAGGGCACGCGCACCCCCTACTCGCAACTGCAAATATACATACATGTATATATACACGTGATTTTGCGCACCCATGCCACCCTGTACCAGTATTTCTGCGTGGGAGCGGTTAAATATAACGACCCTTGTGCTGAATTTTTAAAAACATTTTGCTCCTAAACTTGCGCTTTAGAGGATTACAATAATTTTATTTTTTACTCAGCTTATAAGCAACAGAACTGTCTAAGATAGACCCAGATAGCAATCATTGTTTAAAGTTCGGTACATGTCAGAGGGAGTTATACTAGTTATTTTCTAAGACAAACATAGGATGCAGCTGCATCATCACAGGGTGGAGGCATATTAACAACAGAACCTTTACTATGATTTCTGCTAATGCAGACAAACAATAGTCTACTTCATGGTAGCCTTGTGGTTAAAGTATAGCTAAAGGCAAAGAGATTAGAACGCTTTTCAGGTTTTTTATCGCTGTCTGTGCCCCCATTAAGGAGATTTTCCTCTATATTTGTCCCGTTTACCATCATCATTGATAGTGAAAATAAAATAAAATCCCAAATTTTGGTTTGTCCTCAGAAAAGTAAAACTTCCAGGGTTGGGTTGTCCTCAGAGGGGAAATCATCCAATGGGGACACTAGTTCTGGTGACCTGGGAGTCCCCATGAAATTCCCTTAACCGCTTTACCACCACCCTATAGCAGAAATACTGCTACAGAGCGGCAGGGGTGAGCAAAATCACGTATATATACGTGACATTGCATTTCCGGGTAGGGGGCGTGCACAAGCCATGCGTGCGCCCTACCCGAGCCACCATTCTTGGCCTTAGCTGTCAATCACCCAGTCCTGGTAAGTAATTACTCGCCGGCACCCGGTGATCTCCGTGTAATACTGACGGGGGGAGAGACCCTGTCAGCTCCAGCACACTGCTATACAAAGCAGTGTGCTTACAGTGGAAAGCACAGACACAGCAGTATAGTAAAACGCACAGATAACCCTTTGATCGCCCCACATGTTAACTCCTTCCTGCCCAGTGCCATTGCTCTTTATTAGCACTGAGCACTATATTGGTGTCACTGGGGATGTCAATGACACCAAGTCAGTTCCCCCCAATGTCAGAATGCCAGCCGCAGTCCCACTATAAGTCACTGATCGCCACCATTAACAGTAGAAAAAAAAATTCCAGTATATATACCGCCATTTGTAAACGCTATAGCTTTCACGTACACCAATGCATTTACGTATTGGGATTTTTTTTTAGCAAAGACATGAAGCAAAATACATTTTGCCCTAAATTTATGACGAAATTTGATTTTTTAAATTTTTTTATTGGACTGAAAAACAACAGACTTGCTGGCTGGTCACCAGATGAAAATAGAAAAAAAGAGAGCCTAAAAAAAGAAACTAATGCAGCCATCACATACAAGAATTAGTAAGCTGCAATATAATAAATGTTTACTTTTGGGTTTAATACTGCTTTAATTCAACGGTTGCACTTAAGTCGTTTCTTAACAAGGTTATGGAATCTAAACTTGTTTGCTGCTCTGCTTTTAATTGCCTGAAACTTTCGTAAGGCTAGGATCACACCTATGCAGTTTGTGTTTGATCCGCTTCTGCAGTGCATTTTGTGTTTTTGCACATGTGTTTGTGACGAGTTTTGCGTTTTTCTTGTTGCTAAGCAGATTTAAAAACTCATCAAAAACGTGGCAGAAGCGCACTACATGCTTCTCTGCAGCGCTTCCATTGAAGTCTATAGAACCAAAAAATGCAACTTTTTGTGTTTAAAAAGGCCCCTGACCCTTTCCAAAAAACACATAGGGTGAAAAAGCGGAGATGTGAACCTGTCCCATAGGAAACATGTTAAATGGACTGTCCTGCATTTCTACAAAATGCTGTGAAAACGTTTAGGTGTGAACCTGGGGTAAAGCAAGAAATTAAAGTAAAACTGCCCATGCATGCGCATTAGTTACAAACTCCTTACTACTTACAACCTTTATGCATCATCTAACCGTTTTAGACATTAAGCTCTACTTTAATATTTTGCACAGTATGTTATCTCCAAACAGTGAGGAATTTACTATTACCAATATATTGTATTGTATCTTCATTTACACTCACCACATATAAAGTAAAACTACTGCAAAAATGACCGAATTAAAGGTGCCAAGTAGACTGCTTCTTATGCGAAGATCCTTCTGTGTGGTGTACTCGAAAAAAGACATTTTGTTTAGGACTGCTTCTACAAACATTTGTGAAAGAATGGGTCGCTCTCATGAGCTCCGTGAATTTAAAGCAGGCCATACATGGGTGGAATTCCGAACGATTTTTTGATCGAAAATCGAAAACGTTGTTCGTTCTTTAATCCGATGGTGCCACCAATAATTTTGAAAATCGGTTGTTTTTCACTGTATCTACTATATACTTACAGCAATTTGCAGCTGGTGCATAAAACCAAACATTAACACAATAACAATGAGAATATTTTACAATACAAAAATATCTTCATTTACACTCACCACATATAAAGTAAAACTGCTGCAAAGATGACCGATTTAAAGGTGCCAAGTAGACTGCTTCTTATGCGAAGATCCTTCTGTGTGGTGTACTCACAAAAAGACATTTTGTTTCGGGCTGGGCTGCCAGCATGGAGTGAACTTACACTGCCAGTCCTGTAGTAAACACTTACTTCTTGTGTCTGCTAAACTGAAACTGACTTGTAAATGACTCACTCAAGACTGGACGTGTGCAAAGCAATCACTGTCTTTCTCTAAAATTCAAGATGTGGCTATTATTTGTACAGCAGTCTTCAGAGAGCAGCCATTGTCTCTGGAAAAGCACTCCCGTCACAGTGAAAGACAGAGGATAAGGATTCGTCATGCTGCTGCTGAACTAATAAATTCAGGCATGGCATGGAAGATAATTATTCACATTACAACACTGAAGGGTGTTTTCTTGCAGTGTAATGAGCGTTCCTTTGTTTTTCTGGAAATAATCAAATGATTATTTATATATATATATATATATATATATATATATATATATATATATATATATACACATATATATTTATATATACTATTTTGCCAAAAGTATTGGGACACCCCTCCTTCAGATGTTCCAATCACCTCCATGGCCACAGGTGTATAAAATCAAGCACCTAGACATGCAGACTGCTTCTGCAAACATTTGTGAAAGAATGGGTAGCTCTCAGGAGCTCAGTGGATTTAAACCAGGCCATACATGGGTCAATTTCCGAATGATTTTTTGATTGAAAATTCACAAATTTTCCAACATGCCCGATAACCGAAATGGGAAGGAACTATGAAAATCGGCTGGTGCCAGTGCGCCACTAACAGAGCGAAAATCAGTCGATTATTCTTAGGTCCGATTTTCAAATGAAAAATCGTTCGGAAATCAACTAATGTATGGCTGGCCTTAGTGTGGTACCGTGATATGTTGCCACCTGTGTAATAAGTCCATCCGTGACATTTCCTTGCTACTAAATATTCCACGGTCAACTGTTAGTGGTATTATAACAAAGTGGAAGTAACTGAGAACAACAGCAACTCGGCCACGAAGTGGTAGGCCACATAAAATGACAGAGCGGGGTCAGCGCATGCTGAAGCGCACAGTGCACTGAAGTCGCCAACTGTCTGAGTCAATAGCTAAAGATCTCCAAACTTCGTGTGGCCTTCAGATTAGCACAACAACAGCGCGTAGAGAGCTTCAAGGAATGGGTTTCCATGGCCGAGCAGCTGCATCCAAGCCTTACATCACCAAGTGCAAGGCAAAGCAGCAGATGCAGTGGTGTAAAGCACGCCGCCACTGGACTCTAGAGCAGTGGAGACGTGTTCTCTGGAGTGGCAAATCACACTTCTCTGTCTGGCAATCCGATGGACGTGTCTGGGTTTGGCAGTTGCCAAGAGAACGGTACTTACCTGAATGCATTGTGCCAAGTGTAAAGGTTGGTGGAGGGAGGGTTATGGTGTGGGGATGTTTTTCAGGGGTTGGGCTTGGCCCCTTAGTTCCAGTGAAGGTAACTGAAGGCGTCAGCATACCAAGACATTTTGGACAATTTCATGCTCCCAACTTTGTTGGAACAGTTTGGGGATGACCCCTTTCTGTTCCGACATGACTGCACACCAGTGCACAAAGCAAGGTCCATAAAGACATGGATGAGGAGTTTGGAATGGAGGAACTTGACTGGCCTGCACAGAGACCTGACTTCAACCCGATAGAACACCTTTGGGATGAATAAGAGTGGAGATTGTGAGCCAGGCCTTCTTCAGCAGTGCCTGACCTCACAAATGTGCTTCTGAAAGAATGGTCAAACATTCCCATAGGCACACTCCTAAACCTTGTGGACAGCCTTCCCAGAAGAGTTGAAGCTGTTATAGCTGCAAAGGGTGGGCCAACTCAACATTGAACCCTACAGGATAAGACTGGGATGCCATTAAAGTTCATGTGCGTGTAAAGGCAGGAGTCCCAATACTTTTGGCAATGTAGTGTGTGTGTGCATATACACACACACTCTATATATATTGTGGCAGTGAAGTATCCTTCCACGGTGGAAATCACGGTGGTGACCCAGCATTCTCAACCATACAGGTTGAGGGGCTCCAGGCAGTTCTCATAATGCAGAGGAAACTGGCTTGTCAGTTTCCTCTTTGGTTTGTAAAGCCTGTTTTGGGACCTGTAGCCTGGAGATTTCTAAGAGATTTGGGAGGGATGAAATCTCCAATCCTGGGTCCATGTTTTGAGAGCAGCCAGCGTGCTGATTGCACAGGTGTGTGCAGGTCTTTTTGTGGAGGCCAGGCCATGATTCTGCGCTCCACCCCAGCAGACAGGAGTCAGGAGGGCTCCACCCCGGCAGACAAGAGGTCTCTGCCTTGGAGTCAGGTGGGCTTCACCTAGTAGAGGTGGAAGCCAGAATAGCTGTGTGCTAGAGGTTTGCTGTGTGCAAAAACAACCTTTTGGAAGGAGTCTGTAGGAGACAGACATAAAGCAGTATACCTGAGAGAGCCAGAAGGCTGAATATTGTTTAATTTGTTTGATGGTGGATACCCCTGCGTGGGAAGCAGTTATGGAACTTTTTCTTGTAAATAAAATTGGGCAAAAAGGCCCTTAAAAAGAAGCGAGTTGCTGTGTGCTTTTGAAAAGAAAAGCTCTACCAAAGAAGCGAGTTCCCACAATATATATATATATATATATATATACACACACACACATACACACCCCCTATACACACAGCTGATCCAGAGGAAGGCATACAAACACTATAGAAAATCTATGGTAACTGCATGCACTTTCATTTTATAACATCAGCATTATAACAATAATACAAAAAAGTTATATGTGACAATCCAATATAAGCTTACTGGAAAAATCTCCTTTCATGTTGTGAGTTCTGCCTGTCTGCTGGTCATCTCTTTACACAACTTCTTGGATTCCCTGAATGCCTTGCAGCTTCTCCTCCGCTGTTTTCTTTCAATGTCTATGTCCTCTCAGCACCTCTGTAGTTCAGAAGGCAGGCTCTTTGAAAAGTGTGACACCCAGTGCCTTCTCACAGGGGATAATGTATATGTGTCACAGAATACAAGGAAGTAAATGTGTGGGGAACGTCACATAGTAAGTTTATAAACTTTAAAATCATTCAGATTAATAGGAGTAGACTAGAAATGATTGCATACCAATGTAGAAATTAATATATGATTGTACATTTAAACCATACATACTCCCTTCATAACCAGGCGTTTTTTGCTATTCAGCACTGCCCTACTTTAATTGGCAACTTTGCGGTCATGCAACACTGTATGCAAATTAAATTTATATACTTTTTTCAAACAGATAGAGCTTTTATTTGGTGGTATTTGATCACCACTGGGTTTTTATTATATAAATTAATAAAAACCGGGTGGAGAGTAGGAGTTTTTGAGAAACACCTGTTGGAGTGCTGGGAGCTGCTAAACAGCCAGAATTGGACTGGGCTAACCTTTGGAAGTGCTTGTGAGGGGCGGAGCCTGAACATGGCGGCTGTGAAGGGCATGTTGGAGGAGCTCTCTGACAAGCTCCACTTTCCGACCTCCCCAAGGTCCCCCCTAATGTAGGAATGTAGGGAAGAAACCAGGCGGGTCTCACCCGTGGGAGAGAGGTCTTGGCGGACCCGGCGAGGTAGTTGTGGCGCGGAGGGCTGGAGACGGTGATCGGTCTCCCTGGAGTGCGCCGGCGAGGACCCAGGACGGAGGTGTCAGGTTGCCTGGAGATGAGGTCAGCCGCAAAGGAGTGCTGGGAGGAGAGGAAGCCGGCCGGCGTGCAGAGGAGAGAGGGAGACGCCGGTCCGCTCCCCAGCTCGCTTACCAGATGGTTTTTTGCAGGCGAGTCAAGCCTGGGCACTAGCCCGTTCTCCCTTGCTGGAACCCCTACTAAAATGGGGAAAAATAAAAAGAGAAGTAAAGACCCCGAAGAATCCCCCTAAGGACTGAATCTGTGTGGAGAAATTGGCACCTGATTGGCCGGAGCCATCTCGCAGGAGAAGAAAGGAGGGTGAGTGTGAGTGGCTGGGGCTTGCAAGAGGCTATATATTGTATCGTGCCATATAGAGGAGTGGGAGGCGAAGGAGAGAAGGGGGGATTCCTGGGGGTCATGAAGGAGTGGGAGAGAAGAGAGGACTGAGAGAACTAGAAATGAGAGTAAAGGAATGTATATCAAGCCAAGTCTGAGTTCCCAGTATATAAATCTAATATCTACCTATCCTGAGCTTTATAGAAGAGATTAAGATAAACAGAAGATATGAAGAACAAAAATGTTAAAGGAAGTGGGCCCAAAGGGTCCCAAACTGGTACGATCAAAAAATATACGTCCCAGGGAAATGCGACCCAAGAAAGGACCCAAGGTGTAAACGAAAAAGGTGAAATGGAAACTAGTTTGGAAAACAGTCCTAGACTATCGCTGAGTATGAACAGTAGTAGTCAACAAATGGGAGTAAATACAGAGGTGAAAGATCTTGAAAGTGAACTACAAGTACCGAATAAAAAAGAGATGGCAGAAATATTTAAAAATCTTGAGAAAACAATAAAGCAAGAAATGGCAACTATACAAAATGATTTGGGGCAGTTGTTATTGAGAGTGGAGGAAATGTAGGAGAAAGTTAAAAACCAGGCCCAAAACATATCTGAATTAGAAAAAAAAATATAACTGATATTGGGAAAGTTTAGAAGAAGTTGCTATATAGGATGGAGGGAAAGGGAAAGGAGGAAAAATCTTAGGATACGTGGAGTCCCAGAGATTTCAAAAGGGGAAGATTTGCAGGTAGTAGTTTGTAAAATTGTAAACTCCATAATGGACAGATCTGATACAGAGCTGATCAAATTGGATGAAGCTTTTAGAATAGGAAAGCTTCAACCAGGGAACGGGAAGGAAAAACTGAGAGATATAATTGTTCAATTCCATAAAGATGGGGATAAAGAAGAGATTTGGAGGAAGATCAAAGGAAGAACAAGTATTAAGTATGGAGTAATGGACATTCAGATTTTTGTGGATTTAACACCTGAGACTTTATGGAGAAGGAGATCCTTGAAACCCTTGTTAGAGCAGATGAGAAAGCAGAATGTGCATTATAGATGGGGGACCCCAGCGGGCCTAATCGGATGGAAGAATGGAGTTACAGCTTATTTGAGGTTCCCTGAAGATTTGAGAGACTTCTGTGATAGATTGGACTTGCAAAGACTAGAGATTGCTGGATGGGAAGAAGAAGGTAGAGAAAGAGGAGTTATGGGAAAAGAGGACTGGCAGTTTGTTAGGGGGGGAAAGTAGGGGGCGGAAGGGGTGTTTTTTTTTTCTTTTTCTCTCCTTGCTCCTACCTTACTATACCTCCCCTGGATCTCAGTTCTTAAAGACTGGTGATACTTTACTGGGTTAATTAAATAGATGGGGGGTAATTGGGGAGGTTGGAGGAGGGAGAGCCGCTCATGGGCAGAGTTTAACCCCGAGGTTCAAATCAAACGTGGGACTAGGCCCACAAATGATTAATAGGCAAATTGGAAGCCTAAAAATGGGAGGGGTAGCGAGTGGTGGAGGGAATGGATCGGGAGATGGGTGGGATGGGAGGGGGGGGGAGGGGAGGGAGGTGACAGATGGGAGGAGGGGTGGGATGGGGAGTTGGAAGGTATGTGGTGTGGGTGGGGTTTTAGGGACAATACTCTGCATGATAGAAGGAGGTGTAAAAGTAGAAATACAAGAAATATGGAAGATTTACAGTTTATAACATATAATGTAAAGGGGGTTGAATTGTCCGGGGAAGAAATTTAAGTTATTTAAAGAGTTGCAACATAGAGAAGCTTTGGTGGTTTTTCTGCAGGAGACACATCTTGAGATTAAGTAAAATATTAAATTGAACTCCAGAAATTACCCAACATGGTTTTATGCGGATTCCCCAATTAAGAGAGCTAAGGGAGTAGCAATAGGGTTTGCAAAAAACATAAGCTTGGAGATAGAGGAGAGAGAAATAGATCTTGAGGGGAGATTTCTGTTTTTGAAAGGTAGATTGCAAGAGATGGAATGTACAATTGCGAATATTTATTGCCCAAATAAGAGACCGGAGGTATATCTGAAAGGTGTTTTGAGAAAACTGATGGCCTTCAAAAAGGGACGCTTGATAGTGGCAGGGGACTTGAATTTTTGTATGGATCCACAAATGGATACGACTTCTTCTGTGCAGCGAGAGGGAGGTAGGTCTTTGAGAACTTTAAAGAAGGTGATGCATGAGTGCCAACTGGTAGATATTTGGAGAGTAATACATGGAAAAGAGAGAGATTATACCTTCTTCTCTAATGCACATGAGATGTATTCAAGACTGGACTATATATTGGTTGATCATCAACTTATAGAGATGGTGGCTAAAGTAGAAATTGAGGCAATGTCTCTTTCAGACCATGCCCCTGTTATAATGAAATTAGAATGGGGGAGGCGGTTGTCAGGTGGTATAGGATGGAAGTTGAATGAAGCTCTTCTCCTGGATCAGGAGATTGACCAGAAGATTAGAGAAGAGATCAAAAGATTTTTTCAGGAGAATGAGACAGAGGAAGTGTCGGTGGCTACAGTATGGGAGTCCCATAAGGCCAACATAAGAGGTATATTGATCGCATCTGGGGCAAAAAAGAAAAGGGAAAGAAGAAAGAAACTTACTGGGCTAATAAAAGAAATATGTGACCTGAAGCAGATACATAAAAATAGAATAACAAAAGAGATAAGACAGAAGGTAATAAAAAAGAGAGAGGAACTAGAGTTAGTGATGGAGGAGGAGAGGAGAAGAGTTTTTAATAGAGTGGCAAGTGAGAGGTATAGATGGGGAGATAGACCAGGAAAATATTTAATGAGAGCCTTGAGGAAAAAGAATAAGAGGAATTATATAGAAAAAATAAGAAACCCCAAGGGAGAAATAGTTTATTCTACTAAAGAGATCGTCAAGGTGTTTAAGGAATCTTATAGTAAATTGTATAATATTACTACCCCAAGATTCAGTAAATAAAAGTGGAAATGAAAGCAGAGAAAAAAGAAGGGTATATTTAAAAAATGCAGAACTATCGAAGTTAAGTGAAGATCAACTAAATTCCCTTGATTTAGAAATTATGCAGGAGGAAATAAAAATAGCATTAAAGAGTACCATGACAGGGAAAAGTCCAGGGCCAGATGGATATACTGTGAGGTACTATAAAAAATATAGTGAATTGTTAATACCTAAATTGAAGAAATATATGAATGCCCTGGGTGGGGAGATGGAGATGAGGCGGGAATCTTTACAGGCCAATGTGGTACTTATTCAAAAGGAAGGGAAGGATGCTTCTCAGTGCTCTAGTTATAGACCAATTTCACTTTTGAACATAGACACCAAGTTATATGCAAAGGTTTTAGCAAATAGGTTGAAATATTTAATGCCAGAATGGATTCAGGGAGACCAGGTGGGGTTTGTGCCAGGGAGGGAGGGTAGAGACAATGGGTTGAGAACTTTGTTGCTTATCCAGAAGGCTAGGAAGGGGAAAACTCCGGCAGTGGTGCTTTCGATTGATGCTGAAAAGGCATTCGATAGAGTAGATTGGAGCTTTATGATGGACACTCTGGAAACCCTAGGATTGGGAGTTAGAATGAGAGAGTGAATAGGAAAACTGTATAGAGAGCCCTCCGCGGTTATTGTAGTTAACGGAGAGAGGTCAGAACCTATTGGGATGTCAAATGGAACAAGACAGGGATGCCCACTGTCCCCAATGATATATGTATTATTATTGGAACCTTTGCTGGCAACAATTAGGAAAAACATGGATATAAAAGGAATACAGATAGGAGGAACTGAACATAAAGTGGCAGCTTTTGCGGATGACCTGTTGTTCTATGTGGGAAATCCTAGGATAACACTCCCAAATTTAACCACTTGCCTACCAGGCACTTATACCCCCTTATTTATCAGGCCAATTTTCAGCTTTCAGCGCTGCCGCACTTTGATTGACAATTGCGCGGTCATGCAACATTGTACCCATATGAAATTTTGATCATTTTTTTCTCACAAATAGAGCTTTCTTTTGGTGGTATTTAATCGCCACTGGGCGCTTTACTTTTTGCGCTATAAATAAAAAAGTTGCAAAAAATTTGAAAAAAAAAAGTTTCTTTGTTTCTATTCTAAAATTTTTCAAACAGGTAATTTTTCTCCTTTACTGATGTGCGTTGATGAGGCAGCACTGATGGGCACTGATAGGCGGTACTGATGGGCACTGATAGGCAGCACTAAAGGGCACTGATAGGCAGTACTAATGAGGTGGCACGAATAGGCGGCACTGATAGACAGCACTAATGAGGTGTCACGGATAGGCGGCACTAATGTGCAGCACTGATAGGCGGCACTGATAGGTGACACTGATGATGGGTACTGATAAACAGCACTGACTGGCATCACTGCTGGGCACTGACTGGCGGCACTGACTGGCACAACCGCTGGGCACTGACTGGTGGCACTGACTGGCAGCACTGCTGGGCTGCACTGGTGGGTGGCACTGGTGGGCAGCACTGGTGGGTGGGCACAGGTGGGTGGCACTGGTGGGCACAGGTGAGTGGCACTGGTGGGCACAGGTGGGTGGGCACAGTTAGGTGGCACTGCTGGGCACAGGTAGGTGTCACTTCTGGGCACAGGTGTGTGACACTGCAGAGTGGCACAGGTGGGTGCACTGCTGGGCACAGGTGGGTGCACTGCTGGGCACAGGTGGGTGATCTGCTGGGCACAGGTGGGCGGAGTTAGTGGGCGCACTGCTGGGCGGAACTTGCGGGTGGCACTGCTGAGCACCGATCATCAGGGCACTGATCATCAGTGCCCTGATGATCGGTGCCAATCCTCGCTCTGACAACTGCCGGTTCTCGGCAGTACTTTCCTCACGATCTGACAGCGTGAGGAAAGTGCAGCCGAGAACCGGCACTTGCATTTCCCTCTGATCAGCGTGTCATTGGACACCGCTGATCACGTGGTAAAAGGCCGCTGTGATTGGCCTTTTACCACATCACGTGATCACCTGCGTCCATAGGACACAGCGATCACGGAGATCGCCGGGTGCGCACCCCCTGGGGCGCGCAGGAGAGCGCGTTCTGGGGGGACGTCATATGACGTCCACTCAGAACTGGCCGGCCGCAGTGCAGCCGTCATTCAGCTATCTGCGGTCGGCTACTAGTTAATGAAGAGCTTAAAGGAGTATGGGGAGCTATCAAATTTGAAGATCAACCCAACAAAAAATGTAAATCTTCCGAATAGTGAAAAAGAAAAGATTCAAAAAGAATTCCCTTTTATATGGAAAGATAGAGAGATAAAATATCTAGGGGTTAAACTCACTGCTTCATATACGAACCTGTATAAATCAAATTATATCTCACTTTTAAATGAGATGAAGGAGGATTTAAAGAAATTAGGAGGAGGTAATCTGTCTTGGATAGGGCGTATAAATCTGATAAAAATGGTACCGTATTTTCCGGCGTATAAGACGACTGGGCGTATAAGACGACCCCCTACTTTTCCTGTTAAAATATAGGTTTTGAGCTATACTCGCCGTATAAGACTACCCCCCTTCCAACGCACACCAAATAAAAATGAAAAAACATCAGATTTGATTTCAATATGGTATGCTATTTCAGTATGGTATACCAATGATGGGGTGCTATTCCTCCCACTGACACCAATGATGAGGCACTACTCCTCCCACTGACACCAATGATGGAGCACTATTTCATCCACTGACACCAATGATGGGGCACTATTCCTCCCACTGACACCAATGATGGGGCACTATTCCTCTCATCATGCCCCATCATTGGTGTCAGTGGGAAGAATCGTGCCCCATCATTGGTGTCAGTGGGAGGAATAGTGTCCCATCATTAGTGTCAGTGGGAGGAATAGTGTCCCATCATTGGTGTCAGTGGGAGGAATAGTGCTCCATCATTGGTGTCAGTGGGAGGAATAGTGCTCCATCATTGGTGTCAGTGGGAGGAATAGCGCCCCATCATTGGTATCAGTGGGAGGAATAGCGCCCCATCATTGGTATCAGTGGGAGGAATAGCGCCCCATCATTGGTGTCAGTGGGAGGAATAGCGCCCCATCATTGATATCAGTGGCAGGAATTGCGCCCCATCTTTGGTGTCAGTGGGAGGAATTGCGCCCCATCATTAGTCAGTGGGAGGAATTGCGCCCCATCATTAGTCAGTGGCAGGAATTGCGCCCCATCATTATTCAGTGGGAGGAATAGTGCCCCATCATTAATGTCAGTGGGAGGAGTAGCGCCCCATCATTGGTATCAGTGGCAGGAATAGTGCCCCATCGTTGGTGTTCAGTGGGGGAGGAATAGTGCCCCATCGTTGGTATCAGTGGGGAGAATAGTGCCCCATCATTGGTGTCAGTGGGGAGGAGGAATAGTGCCCCATCATTGATATCAGTGGGGAGAACAGTGCCTCATCGTTGGTGTCAGTGGGGGAGGAATAGTGCCCCATCGTTAGTGTCAGTGGGGGAGAGGAGCGGCTGCTTCTTCTTCCAGTTCGGCCGCTCGATTTTCGCGGGGCCGCTCGGCTCCGCCTCCTCGCTGGTGATTGGTCGCCTGTGTGCCTTTTTAGTGCTGGCGCCCAATCACCGGTGAGGAGGCGGAGACGAGCGGCCGCGTGACCATCGAGCGGCCGAACTGAAAGAAGGAGCAGCCGCGCTTCCTGGACCGGATCGTCGTGGGACCGGAGCCAGGTAAGGTACAGCAGCCCCTCTGCCCACCCCTGTACTTAGTGTCCGCTGGAGGAGGAGGGGGGGCGGCGCCGCTCCGCCCCTCGAAAAAGTGCCCCCCTGACACCGGCTCGCACCGGCGTATAAGACGACCCCCGACTTTTCAGAAGATTTTCAGGGGTTGAAAAGTCGTCTTATACGCCGGAAAATACGGTAATTGTACCTAAAATCCTGCATAAATTTCAGATGATCCCAGTTACACTTCGGGAGGTTTTTTTTCAAGGTAATTAAAAAGATGTTAACAAGATATATATGGAAAAATAAAAAACCTAGAATATCTTATGATTGGTTGAGTAGAAATAAAGAGAGGGGATGATTGGGAGTGTCAGATTTCAAGAGGTATTATAGAGCAGTAGTTCTAGCAAGAATTTATGACTGGACACACAATCCAGAGGGGAAAAGGTGGGTTAAGATTGAAAATGATTTAAGTGGAGTTGACTTGAGTAAAATCATATGGGTACCAGTACAATACAGAGGATTAAAAGATACCACAAGTGTTTATACATTAAATGTTTTAAAGGTTTGGGATAAATTGCACAAGCTTATGAAATGGGATTTTAATTCACAATTAATTTCACTGAGGAACACGGAATATTTTCCTCCAGGTAGGGAGGAGAGCACAGGAAAATGGTTTAAAAAGGAAAATATTCAATCGAGGGATATTATGGAAGGGCAGGAATTGAGAACACTTAAGGATTTGAAAAAGGATAAAACGGAACCTTTTATTAAGATTGATGAGTGGAGATATCACCAATTAAAACACTTTGTCGGGAATCTTCCAAAACCTTTGAGAATGAGAAAGGATTGGAATGTGTTTTGAGAGGCTGTTGGAATCACGTGGAGATGGGAAACGGGGCACAGCGAAAGTGTATAAGATTCTCACTGGGCTAGACACACACACAAAGTCAATGCACATAGTAAAATGGGAAAGGTATATAGGAATAGAGATAGATGAAGACAGACAAAGGAAAATATATAGACTAACACACGAGAATATAAGCATGAGAGAGGTGGAGGTAAACTATAAGTGTTCAACAAGATGGCACATTGCACCGAACGTTGAATATAAGATGAGTGGGGAGAATACACCAGAGTGTTGGCGGGGGTGTGGACAGATAGGTACGTTATATCATATATGGTGGGAGTGCCAAAAGATTCAAGGTTTCTGGGAGACAATAGTTCATTTGATTGGGATGGTCTCTGGGACAAAGATAGTTTTGGACCCAGAATTGTGTCTACTACATAGTTCAGAGCTATTAGTGAATAAATACAAGGATTCGGGTATATGGTACTATCTGAATGCGACAAAGGGTCTGATACCTAAGTTCTGGCATAGTTCAGAGGTGCCGAGAGAAGAGGATTGGGTGGAAAGAGTGAACCAGATAAATAGGATGGAGAAATTGTATTATATGCAAGAAGACAAGATGGGTTTATATTATAGGAGGTGGGGAAAGTGGGAAGATTTTGTGTCCAAGGTGAAAAATATGAAGTAGTAGAGTGGGATAGCAAAAAGTACATATTATTTAGGAAAAGATGTAACGAGAAATGCAGAGTGGGTGGTTTTACTTGTGGGGGGAGGTAGGTTTTTCTGGGAGGGTGGGGGTATTAGTTAGCGGGGGGTGGGGGGTGAAGGGAATAAAGATAGTAAGCGAATAAAGATTGAAAGGGATATAATTAAGGGTTTGGATATATTTGAAAGTTTTGTATGTTATATGAGAGTAATGATGAAATTTGTATTTTATATGGAAAAAAATAAATATTTAAATAAAAAAAAATAAATAAAGAATAAAAACCGCACATTTTAATATCCAATAAAAGAAAAATCTTCATAAATTTAGGATAAAATGCATTCTGGTATATGGCTTTGGTTAAAAAAAATTCCAAAAAGTGTATATTAATTGGTTTGTTTGAATGTTATAGAGTTTACAAACTATATATATATATATATATATATATATATATATGAACAATTACCAATCCTGGTGTACTGACGGACGATCTAATTTCTTGAAGCCCCCTAATATGTGTCAGGACAGTACATATACCCCCCAAATTACCCTTTTTTGGAAAGCAGACAGTATGAGGTATTTAGTAAGAGGCATAGGGAGTTTTTTTTTTTGAAGTTATACATTTATGTTACAATGTTTTGGAAAATTAACACTTTAAATAACTTTTTTTTTTCTACAATTTATTTTTCACACTGTCACCAATTCAGTACAGTGTCATCATACGACTGGTGTGGTATTGATCAGGGACACTGACTGTTGACAGTATGTTAAAAGAAAAAAACCTAAACATTTTTTTTTATTGTTTTTATTAAATTTTGTACATTTGTTTTTGTTTTAACATTAAAAAAAAAATATAATTGCATAAGAGTAGTTCAGTGTCACCATAGTAACACTGCAGTGGTGGAGTGGTGATCAGGGATTTTTTTTTTTTTACACTTTGCTGATACAATGATGATCATTGTAACAGTAATGAACTGTCATGAATGAGTTTCGTTCATGACAGCTGTGATTAGTAGTGATCTGTGATTGTCTACAGCTAATTACATGGTACAGGGTGCTGTGACTGGCCCAGGTACCATGTGATATTTGTGGGCCAGTCACAGCTCAGTAGTATTGGAAGCAGAGCTGTTATGAATACATTCATAACAGCTGTGTTGACATTGTGATGCGATCACATGCTGTGTCCAGTGGTCACAGGGGGGTAACTGCGCACCCCCCTTAGCCTGAGCAGGCACAATCATGTACATGTACGTGATTGTGCCTGCATGTGCCGTCCCGCCACAGTATATGTACTGTGGCAGGTCAGCAAGTGGTTGAAAAAAACATTCATACTCACCTCTATGCTGCAGCATCAGTCCCATGTCAGCTCTAATAACGAAAGCTGAGCAATCACATGACTACTGATCACTCAACTGTCAGTCACTGCTCTCTGCTCTTCCAGTGCTCACTGGAAAGCCGAGTTTGAGACAGGATGGGTGCAACTGAATCGGCACTTAGCCATGCACTGGGATGTGCACAGGGGCGTATTTACCGCGAGGCAAACAAGGCGCTTGCCTAGGGCAGCAATTTTTAGGGGGGGCGGCA